TAGTAGAATGGAAAAATGAAAGAGATAATGCTATAACTCTTTTTGAGGATTTTTGTTTAAGGAATATCAAGGGTTATACGATACTGTACAAGAAGAAACAGCACCACCTCCGACCCCGAAATCAAAAAAAGGTTTTGCCGGCATAGTCGGTGGGCTTCTTGCAAAGAAAGGGAAACGTGCCCAGTCTTCGACGAGTTCAAGTGGTACAACAGTAAGCTCGCACAACGAACTTGCTATGTACCAGGGTGTGCCATGCGATTACGATGACGACGATGTCGATTTTGACGTGCTCGGATGGTGGAAGCGGAACGAACACATGTTCCCATGTCTCGGCATGCTAGCAAGACAAGTGTTGTCCGTCCCAGTATCAACCGTAGCAGTTGAACGAGAATTCAGTGCTGGCGGCAACATTCTAACCGACTACCGAAGTTGTCTTAACGCTGAATCTCTTGAAACACTGGTTTGCAACCAAGATTGGCTATTGACAAGACGCTGGGCTCAAAAGTCATCGTACCAACTCGAATCGGAGCATTACATGAATGCAACCACAGATGGAAGTCCGAGTTCTGAAGAATAAGTTATAATTTTTTTTATGTTAATGTAAATATGTAATTAATTTTTTTAGGTGGACGATATATAAGCTCCTTCGAGGGTTTCTTTACGGTTCTTTACCTCGTTGCTTTTTTTTGAACCGTCAGGATATTAAATGTGGTTGTTCTTGAGTTAGTGTATTACTCATTTTCAATATTTAAATAACAACTACATTTTTAGATTTTTTATTTCATTCTTTCCTTAAACAATTGCAAATTTACAATTTTATACTTTAAAAATTTTTTAAAAAAAAGCAAAAAAAAATAGGGGGGGGCGAACCGGGCCGGTTACTTGGGGTGGCGGTACCGGAACCGTACCGTGTCCACCCCTATACGGAGTATATCTTCCTCTCAAAAAAGACTTCACATTTTGTGTGTGAAGGAGGGATTACACAAACGAGCATGGTTTCGTTGACACTCAACAATAATAAAACTAAGGGTCTGTTCTTTAGAGCTTGAATTCTTAACTTCTAATTTCTTTCAATTTTTTCCAGTTCCTTCCAGTTTCTTCCAATTTCTTCCAGTTTCTTCCAACTTTTTTCATTTTCTTCAAATTCTTTCTACTCTTCAACCAATTACTCTAAAAATGATATATTTCAATGTGATTATTACTATTATTCTTGTTGTTGTTATTATTGTTATTATTATTATTATTATTATAACTGTTATATTCATAACTGTAGTTTATAAATTATTTTTTTCATCTCATTATTTTTATGATTAACACCTTTTTTTTCTTCAACTTTTTAATATGAATAAGACATTTTTTTGTATATTAGTCTACATGATAAAACAGGAAAACATTAATATCTTAAATTATACTAAAAAATTATGGATAAAATAGTTACATTGAATGTTTTATTAATATAACTTTTTATAAGACATTTGAGTTTTCCCTTTATTACTTAAAAAATTGCTCATTTTTCTAATTTTTATAAAAAAATATTGTAAGTCAAAAGAGCTTAGTGAAAAAGACTAAAATATGAGTAAAACATAAAAAATGTAAACAAAAAAGTTCTATGTCTTAATTCCAAAAATAGGAATTCAATAAAAATAAAATGTCAATCATGAAAGAAACAATATGTTTGATTATGTGACATGTATGATATTTAAAACAAAATGTTTTAATATATAAATTATAATTACAAATACATTATTTATAATAAATACTGCATAAATAAATTGAGGTGCAATATGACTACACAGCCTTTTAAAAAATTAATATTTTTATATCTATGCTAAATTTATATTATAATTATTTTTTGTAAAAGTAGTTTTTTGAATTTAAAAAATAACAATATTTTTTTTATATCTTAAAGACATTCACTAAGATAACGTGATGATGATGATGATTATGTAGATGATTATGATGCTAATGATGATGATGATGATCATAATAATAATAATAATAATAATAATAATTTATAACAACAGGAATTTAAAATAAATATTTTTAAAGTTTTTTTAGGTTTTCCAGTTTTTTCCAGTTTCTTCCAGTTCCTTCCAGTTTTTTCCAGTTTCTTCCCGTTCCTTCCAGTTTTTTCCAGTTTCTTCCTGTTCTTCCATTTTTTTCCAGTTTCTTCCTGTTCCTTCCAGATTTTTCCAGTTCCTTCAAGTTCTTCCAGTTCATTCCCGTTTCTTCAAGTTTTTTCCAGATTCTTTCGGTTCCTTCCAGTTTCTTCCAACATCCAGCTCTTTTTTTAGAGTCCTAAAGAATAGGCCCTAGCAGTATTATTGTGTTTTTAGAGCATCGAAAAATTAATGGTTTCTATTGCCCTAACCTGACCCTTAAACCCCCACTTTAGCCTCACCCCTACCCTCACTCCAGTCCCGCTTTAAGCTCCCTCCAAATGTGTGGTTATTATGCATAATAGTCACACGTTTAGAGGGGCTTAAGGTGGGGTTGGGGTGAGGCTAGAGTGGTCTAGGGTGGATTAGGAGGGATAGAACCATAGTTTTCAGAACTGGACCGGTGACCAAACCGGTCAAGGTACTGGTTCACTGGTCGAACCATTGGTTCAACTGGTCGAACCGGTGGTTTAAACATATTTAAAAATTATATAAATATATATATATATATGTATATGTATATATATATATATATATATATATATATATATATAAAATTTTAATTTAGTAAAATAACTCAAATATGTGTATGTATGTGTGTGTGTGTGTGTATATATATAGACACACACACACACATGCATATAGAGACACACACACACATTCTCATTTATAAATACCTAAAGAAAGTAATTTATAATATTTGACTAGACTTATATTAATATATTTGAGTTATTTTACTAAATTAAAAAAATAAACTTTACATATTAAAAAATTATATTAAAATTTTATAAAAAAATAATATCAATGATTTAATATTTTAAAATTGAAAAGGAATTTGTATACAATCTTTTTATGAATTATGAAATATTATAAAAAATTACGCAAACTTGAAACAATAAGTTACTTTGCTTGGATGGTAAAGAACTCAAGCAAATGCCTTTAAGGTCCCGGGTTCAAACCCTCATGGAGTAAAGTTTTGGAAAAAAATCGCAAAAAAAAAAAAAATTGGTCGGACCGCGGCCGGTTCAAACCGGTTCGGACCGGTTCGAAGCACATTGCGGTCCAACGGGCTGGACCGGTTGGACCACCGGTTCGCCGGTTCACGGTCCGGTCCGATTTTTAAAACTATGGATAGAACCATCAATTTTTCGATGCCTCAAAAATGCAATGACACCGCTAGTATCATCGTTGTTGAGTGTCAACGGAACCCTACTCTACAAAAACACATTTCTCTTTTTGTTTTTAGAAAGAAAATTATAGCTCATAATACCTCTCTTCTTTGCATAGCTTCTAACTACTTAATTTTATAGTTTTTTATACTTCGTCTCAAATCCTATTAGGAGTCTTTTTTTAGATAAATAGATTATGGTTTAAAAAAGTAACTGAGTATAAATGATATAATAATTTGACATATTAAAACTATACATTTTAAAATAGATTCAATTTTAATTAAATTTATATTAAAACTATATGAGTTTTATACAATTTATGATCAAAGTTTGTAAATTTTGACAAAAAAAACTATAAAAACTAAAATTGAGACAAAAAAAAGTATATACGGACTATGTGAATAGTAATCACATAACTTTTAAATACTTCCTCAAGTTCAAAAGCTATATTAACCTCACAAAGTTTTAAAAATTGTAGAAAAATAAAAGGTTGGCGATTAAATTTGTTTAGATTAAAGAGAGAGCATGGAGAACACATACTCTCTAATTTATCAAGTATTTAGGTAAGATAAATCTTTTGGAATCAATAAGAAACTGGAGACCTTAAATTAGGGTAAATTTCACAAATGGTACCTGAACTTTAGCTGGAATTTCGAAGTAGTACCTGAACTTCAAATCCTTTCACAAAAATCCCTGAACTTACACAATCCTTTCACTAATGAGCCATTAGCCCGTTTCTAGGTTAACTTCTGGTCACTAGGGCCAAATTCAAATTTTATATATTTTAAAATTTTCAATTTGACCCCATTTCTTCTTTTCTTTTCTTCCATGCCCCGCCGCCGCCCGCCGGTCAAAGTCGCCGGAAAATGAACTTTTTCCGATTCTGGCGGGACCAATGTCATTCTCTTCGTCTTGAGACGAGGATCAATAATATCCAAACCATTTTGTCTAATTTGGCCTGTAACTTCTCGAATCTGAATTTTTCTACTCGAAAAAACCCTAAAATTCGAAATTGGATCCAAAATTGGGGGTTTTGCAAATCTTCATCAAATC